AAAATGAGTTCTGCTTTATCTTTAAAATATTGATTCTTAATTTTGGGTTAGAAAAGTGGAGGTCGTCTTATACATGAGGGTGTCTTATTAACAGAAAAATACGGTACATCATAGAAACAGTGAAGACCCCCAAAAATAAAACCACACTCAGGAAAATCAGAAACTTCAAACACATTATACTTTAACTGGTTCACAAATCACTCTCTCAGTCCCTGCCAGAAGGTTTTTATGCGTTCTGGAATGATAGCAGGGGTGGGGCCATACAGCCTCAAGGGGAATGTGATCTTGGGAGCAATGTTGAAGTCCAAGTTAACTTTAGATAATTTTAATACTGTATAGAAATGGTGCATCCCAACATTTTTCCATTCAAAAGACAACTGTGTTAATTTTCTGTGTTGTGTTAACTGACTTACTGTCACATTAACTGGATATACTGTGTAGGATGTATGTGTGTGCCTTTGAGTCAGTGATGACTCATGGTGACTGCCTGGACCAGCCCCTGCGGTTTTCTTGGCAAGATTTTGGAAGTGCTTTGCCATTGTCTTCTTCCTGGGGCTGAGAGTAAGTAACTGGCCCAAGGTCACCCAGTTAGCTTTGTGCCTAAGGTGGGACTCACAGTCTCCCAGTTTCTAGTCTGGTGCCTTAACCACTGCATCAAACTGGCTCTTTGTACAGGGGGTACAGCCCCTGAATTCTCCAACCTTTTAAAAGCTCATTTTATCCAAGGCATAATATTGAATGATCTGCAGAATGTTCAAAGCTTGGCTACCCTATACTTCTAGTGACTTTAATAACTCTTCCCCCATTTCACTCTCCTTTGTTAATACGGGTTCCCTATTAGAGAAGATAATTAAATTATTCTCTAGTGGGGTACATCTCTTATTAATTCTAACCTTGGTGTTATTCACACCGTAGCATTGGCAAGATGATCTATTCTAAGCTGTTTTATTGCTTACTTAGTGGTATATCCTGGACTGGACCATTGTTGCTTCTTTTTCTTTGATGTCATAGCCAGGTCCTGGAGCTCACAAGTAAGTATTCAAGGTTCTCCATATAATTAAAATATGGAAGCAAAACCTACTCCAGAGATATAAAAAAGCCTCTTGGTTTAAAAAAATTGAAGGGAATTAAAAGCTAAAAATAAATTAAAAGAGTAGAGGGCTTAGAGCATGCGGAGAAAGGAGGGTTCCCTGGCTGTCATTTCACTCCTCCTTCCCATCGGTGCAATTCTGAGCAGATAAATGGAACCATAGAATAGAATTATTCTAAAATGGCTCAGCTTATTCTGAGTTGGATTCTGTTGGATATATCCAACTGAGGTGGCTGAGGCAAAGTCTTGTTGTATTATCTGGGAAGAATTTAAGCATATAAGTCTCAAGTGGACGAGGTTCTTGCAGCTGTTAGTCTAGCTACCTGTATGTTAGTTCTATCAGTGGAGGCGAATGTTAGTTCTATGCCCAATCTGGCTGATCAAGGCTTTCCAGGAGGTGATGCGGTTGGGTCTATGCAGTGGTGAATTCAAGAAAGTTACAACCATTTGTGATTTTCTCAAGTGAGAGTATGAGTGAGGGGGTAGTCCCACATGTCTTAAAGGAGGCAGCAGTATGCCCCCTTTTGCT